GCGGGAGTAGGCGTGCTGCCTGTCGAAGTTGTCGGCAGCTTCGAACGAAACGGTGTCGTTCTGCGGTCCTGCGGCCGCATCTGAGCAGGTGGAGGCGGCGGTGGCGCACCCGAAGGCGACGGGCCTGTGCCGCGGCGACATTCCATCCGCTGAATATGGATAATCTGGAACATGAAGAGGTCCTGGACGGAATACCCCTTCGAGCCGAAATCGCTCGGTACGCATCAAAATCATTGGGATCGGAGGGAGGTGCTGGCTGTCGTTTCGGAGGTTTCGATCTTGTCCTCGTCTGTTTTCTAGATGATGTTGGTGACTTCGCTATCGTCGGACTCGATCGCTTAGGGCCCGAAGACGTCTCCCAAGAACCCCCCTTGATGCTGGAGATTTCGGCGTCGCCTATGTCGAACCTCCTGGGGTCCTCGGAGTAGTTGAAGTCGCGCCCCCTGGGGTCCTCAATTAGGTATGCGGAGTGGGGGTGGCCGTAGGGGTTCTTGGGGGTCATCGTGGCATAGGAGGGGCCGTGTGGAAGAACTCTGTGAGGAGCACGAGGGCGCCGTAGGAACGACGGGGGGGTCTAGAACCGCATCTGTCGGGAGGAGCTTCTCGGGATCTCTCGAGCCATCACCGTGGGGCGACCTTTCAGGATTCTCATCGGGCCCCCCCAATGGACTAGTGGAATCTCTCTTCCTCGGGTCCACCGGGGGGCGCTGTCTCTGGCTCGAGAGCGCCTCCGGGGCGCCCGTCCGATCCTTCCTGCACGGCAGCGTCCACGAGCCCGGTCTGGCCCTCCTGGTCCTCCAAGGCGTGGCACTGGGCGACCGCGTCGGAGATCGGGGGCCTCTGCGGCACCTGCTGCCGCCAAGTAGGCGTCGTCGCGTTGATCGCGAGGTGGCCGCTCGGCACCTTGCGGCGCTGGGAGATGCGGTTGGAGACCTTCGGCATCATCAAATAGCCGTTCCCGCAGTCGATGAGGTCGCCAGTGTGCTCAGGCCCCAGGATATCCACCCCGATCAGCAGCGGCGCGCCGTTGTCCATGATGGAGATGTCGATCGTCTCCTCGCCGTCGCCGAGGAAGATGTCGCCCGCCAGAGTACTCGTGGAGCTCTTGCGCTGGCCGTCCCCGAACGTGAAGTACCTCGTCGTCTCAGCCAGGTTGAACTCCAGGTCGCGCTGCCCCCCCATGTCGTAGGCCAGATACTCCGCCATCGTGGCCCCGATGAGGCTCCGTGTCGCCCCGCAGTCGAGGACCGCCCATGCGCCGCTTGAGTCGCCCAGAAGAAGCGCCAGTTCGCCCAGCTCATGGAGCGCGAACGAGTTCGTCTCGGTTGGCTGCTGCTTGCCCTGGCCCTTGTCTCTCTCAGGGCAGTCATTGGCCTGGTGCCCGAACTTGCGGCGCATTGAGCACCGCGTCCAGCGCCAGTCTCGTGTTGGTCCAGGTCCTTGTCCACCCTTGCCGTCACGAGGAGGGCGAGGTCGTGGAGGTCTTTCAGGAGGGCGCGGCGCCAGCGCAGGGTAGTAGTCCCGCGCGACCTTTAGCTGATGAGGTCCCTGGCGTCCTTGAACTTCCGGCCCATCTGCTTGGACTCCGCGTAGATCCCGTCCTCGGGCTCGTCGAACAGCTCGGAGTCCTCCAGCAGCAGCGCGTCCTCCTCGTCAGCCCAGGTCACCAGCTGATCCACGATGTCCGACTGGTCCTCCGAGTCGTTGGCCTCCTGGTCGGCCTCCTCGGCCTCGCCGCAGAACCCGGCGCGCCTGTCCTTCCTGTCGCGGGCCCCGTCGAGCTCCTTCAGCGCCTCAGGGGGTGCCGCGTGCAGAGTGCCTTGTACGTTCTGTCGAAATCGTAGTCGCAGCCCGCTGTCGCAGTGACCTCGCCTCTGGCCACTGGCGTCAACCGCGAACGGCGAAGGTACCGCCGCGTCCTCAACGGCGCTTCGATGACCTCCTCCACCGTGTTGTCAACCGCCTTCAGCTGTGACAGAAGATCCCGCTCGTGTGCTTCCCATCGCGCCGTCCAGTCGGGGAATTCCTCCCCTGGCTCCCGCTGGAGCTTGTTGAAGAACTTCTCAACAGAGTTCCCCATCTCGTTTACGTTGGACAGGTCGAGTTTCGACAAAAGAAATTCGAAGACGCGCGACCGGCCGGTCAGCTTGCCTGCGCCCGTGACGTCGTCGATCGTGTCGATGTCGGGGCACGCCTGTGCCAGTCTGCGCGTCCTGGTCCCCAGCGCTCTCACCAGATGGGGTCCCACCACGTACCTGTCCTGGAGCTTATAGATTTTGGTGAGGACCCCGACGTCGAACTTGTACGCCACTAGTTTGTCGGGCTCCCCGTCCCACGTCGGGGCGTCCAAGCGGAGGCCTCCAGTAATGCCACCGGCTCCGCCTCTGGACGATGTCGCCATCGTCGTCCGTGGTCTTGTCTATTCTCTCGCTACCAATCTGAAACCAAGGGCACCGACAGCCCTATCCCTGTCGTCGTCGGCAATCTTCGTGGTGTTCACGATGAGGATGGCAGAAGAGCACCTTTTGCTCCTGCGATCGCGGCGGCGCGCAGGCCGCGCCGTCCGAGGCGGAACACCGCCTGCTTATGAAAATCCGCCCGCCCACTGCCGAGCCCGAAGGGCTGCAGCGGACGGACTCTCGAGCAGACCCCTCACACGAACACCTTCACAATCAAAAGCAAGGCCCCGAGACGGCCTCAAGACGGCCCAAGACGCCCCCGATATCCCCCCACCCGGAGGGACTCAAGAGGACCCCCCAAGGAGCTCCACTTCACTGATTGTCGTGAGCTTTCGAAGCCTTTTGACGTTCTCGCTTTCGCAGCTTCCTACTCTCCAAGACGACCCAAGAGGCTCCAATAATCGCCCCAAGACGGCCCAAGTCGCTTCCAAGAGGGCTTCACTTCGTCCCCCCCAAACATCCAAGAACCATCCCAATGCGCCCTAAGAAGGGTAACGACGAAGAGACCTTTGTTGGCCTTTTCCCGAAATATGGCCTCCAAGATCCCCAACATGCCCCCCAAAGCCTCCTAGATCCGCCCAACAGGCCCCGACGAGGTCTCCAAGAGATCCCCCAAAGGCCCCCGAGAGGCACCTGAGAGCCCCCTCGCGAGTCCTCCATGAGGCCCCCGAGGAGGGAACAGGGAGGAGGGAAGACTGATGAGGGAGTAAGGCGGGGGGAGGAGGGAGGAGGCGGAGGGGGAGGAGGGGGAGGAGGAGGAGGAGGAGGAGGAGGAGGAGTAGGAGGAGGAGGAGTAGGAGGAGGAGGAGGAGGAGGAGGAGGAGGAGGAGGAGGAGGAGGAGGAAAAGGGAAATGACGACGACGACGACGACGAAACCCAAAAGACCCCATCAAGCGTCGAATGAGCCGGTGGCGGGATGAGCCGAAAGCACCGTATCCGCCGCCCCTTGTTGGCTTGCCGGCGTGGGTACCCGGCGTGTGGAACTTCAAAAACATGCTCCCCCATGATGGGGCGCACAGAGACACACTAATACTATATGTCCTCCTCGGAGGCGCGCGTCCGACCCGAACATATAGTATACCCATCTTGTAGTATATCGTTTCGCGAGCGGCGCGGCCAGAAAACGCCTGCCACGAGGCATATACTATAAGATTTCTCGGTGCGCGCGTCGCCCCTGGGGGGGCGACGCACGTATAATACAAGTATGTTGGCGTGACGCCGACATAAAACTTCGGCTCAGTGCGCTGGCCACCCGGAAGGCCGTGCCGGCCGCGCACTCCGCCGCAGCATTGTGGCACATGGCCTCCCAGACGGCCACGATGGCCTTCCATATGCTTCCAAGACGGCCGAAATGGCCTACTACTTGGCTCCAACAAAAATTTCCTTGGAAACTCGTAAGAGGAATAATATGTATGTAAACCCGTCGGCAAGATGAAACGTCGCGCGCGTGTGCTCAGCGTTCGCACGCACGCGATCCCAAGACGTCCCGTGGCCACAACATGCTTCCAGGAATGCCTCAGGCCACGGACGATAACGTCCAGAGGACCCAGGATGATGCCACCCCAACGCGATCCCGCCATCGATTCTGGACCGTCTCAGGCCGACTCGCAGATGACGAAACACATGAGCAACGTGTGACGCCGAGATGGCCCGATGGCAACAAGATGGATCCAAGCGCACCCAGGGTGGCCTCATAATGACCACGCGATGGTTGCGTGATCCAAACATGACCGGGATATGATCTCAAGATGACCTCAAGACGACCCCAACACGGCAATAATACTGCAACTTATGAGCCCCATCTTACTTCGAGCCGATCCCAGCATGGTGGGATCCGTGAACGGCCCGGGATTTTGGTCTACCCCATTTTTAATGGGTGGGATTTTGATCGTCCTGAACTAAACTTATAATATTAAAGCGGAATAAGCCAGGCGGGATCCCGCCCGGCCCACGGAGGAAGACAACATTGCTAGGCTTCTACGGGGGTAGGGGGTTCGGAAGGGGCGTCGTTTACTTCCGCTGACATTGGCAAGCCTTCCGGCGGCCTTCCCCCGTCTTCCGCCTCGTTTTACTTCCGTCGACTTCCGCCGGCCAGCGTCGTGAGGAAAATTCCAGGAACTTTCATTGGGCCGATGTAGACGACCCACGAGGGTCAAGGATACCTCCAAGTCCGCCCAAGAAGCCTCCAAGACGGCCAGAAATCCGATGAAGAGGCCCTCCATCTCGCCAGACTGGAGCACCGCTGCGATGTATGCCGTGCACCCAAGCGTCCAGTGTCGGCGCGCCAACTCTTCGTCGACTGGTCCGAGGTGCGCGCCCCGCCTCCTCGCGAGCGTGACCATGCGGTTCTCGGGCTCGAGTGCTCTGGCGCCTCCTCCTCCTCCTCCTCTCCTCCTCCTCCTTCTCCCCCTCCTTTTTCTCCTCCTCCTGCTCCTCCTCCTCCTCCTCCTCCTCCTCCATCGTCTCCTCCTCCTCCTCCTCCTCCTCCCACATCCGACGACGAGGGGTCCAGGCGAGCCCGCTGGCACTGAGGGCGCGACTGCGAGGGCAGCTGCCGCGGCGGAGGAGACTGCGACCTAACTCGCATGGTGCCCTCAAGTCCTTGCCTGGGCGGCTCGCCGCGGCCAGCAAGCGCCGAGGCCAGCCTGCGCGCGAGGGATTACCCAGGTGCGGTCACAGGGGACGACGGGGGATCGCTCCACCTCCTCCCCCTCCTCCTCCTTCTCCTCCTATTCCTCCTCGGACCTCCTTCTTCTCCTCCTCCTCCATTTTCTCATCCCCCCTGCGCCTCCTCCCTCTTCTCTTCCCCTTCTTCCCCTCCTCCCTTTTCTCCTCCCCCTTCCCCTCTCTTTCCTCACGTCGGTGAGGGCATCAACGTCGTCAGGACAGCTGTGCATCTGGGCGCTCTTGTTACCGATCGAGCATTGTTGGGACCAGAGTTTGTACACCGCGAAGCAGGATCACGCATACAGCTGTCCGTATTGAGTAAGGCTTTCAAGAGGGCCAGCAACTTTTCGATCATATCGAAACTGATCTTCACCGATTCCCTGGTCATGAATTCTGCTCTGTATGGTACCGATACATGGTACAATATGTATGGTAACGATCTTGTCTGCGTAAAGTCCCAATCGGTACGAAGGTGCAGGCGGGTTCTCTGTCTTCCTTACTATGAGGCTGGAAGCCCTACAGATGAGGACGTTATGTCGGCTGCACTAAGACCGAACGTCTCAGTTGTGCTGCGTGTGGCGAGACTGCGGCTGTTCGGACAGATCACTTCTGCAGCTTATGCTCCTCTGCTAGGGCTTCCCCATGCTGAAAATCATCAGGCAGTCAAGCGGGCCAAACACAACTCCTGGTTACATCAAGTCCTGGAGGATTTTGCCTGGCTGCGTTCAAGCCATCATGCGTTCCAGGATATGCCTCTTCCGTCGTCAGATCTAGGAGCTTGGGCGTCTCAGGTCAAGATTTCCAAGCGAGCGTGGTTAGGTGCCGTCCAGGAGGCTGCCAAGGCGGAAATTGTTCAAGCACGGCGAGAACTGGATGTGTCACGCCGGGAGAGGGGAACATTGAAGTTGCTGACAAGTGAAGGACTGCCACCCCGGCGTTGTGTGCGGATGCAAGGGCATCGCCAAACGTTTACATGCCACTTCTGCGAATTTTACTCAGATAAGGTTTCTTCTCTTGATGCGCACATCCGTGCCAATCACATCATCTTGCTGGGCATAGCAAGGAGGCATGTGTCAAACAGTTGCTGTCGCGCGTGCCTGAGAGTCTTTTCATCCAGGTCAATGCTTGTGCAGCGCGTGACAACATGGTGCCCATTTTTTATATACCTTGGTCAAGTGCCGCCTCATGCGCCTGAGGTCATGCAGGAGCTGGCGGCTAAGGAACATAATGATAATAATCACATAGGCGTGGCTACTCTGCTTCACACGCCTCGGTTCCGTCATGCATCGCATCGGGGCCGATCCATCCTGCTGCTGGAACATACCAGTCAGCATGTACCCGTGCCCAAGCTTTGATGTACTTGCAGAAATACTTTGTAAGAAGTGACGGGGTGGTCTCGTAAAGTTGTGGGCCAGCTGTCTACTGAGACCACTGCCCATGGCTGGGTAAATGGTGTATTTGCAAGTTGGCCAGCCGTACGATAGTAACTACTCAGAGGGAGGGGGATGAACCGAACGGTCATTCACTGTCCCTGGGTGCGTGTTGTTGTTGTTGTTGTGGTTGTTGTGGTTGTTTTTGTTGTTTTTGTTGTTTGTTGTTGTCGTCGTCCCACCCGCGACCGCCCCGCGACCGCCCCGCGACTCACCCCGCGACCCACCCGCGACCCACCCGCGACCCATCCCGCGACCCACCCGCGACCCACCCCGCGACCCACCCGCGACCCACCCACGACCCACCCGCGACCCACCCCGTGACACGCCCACGACCCACCCCGAAACCCCCCCAGCGACCCACCCCGCGACTCCCCCGGCGACCCACCCGCGACCCACCCGCGACCCACCCCGCGACCCACCCGCGACCCACCCGCGACCCACCCGCGACCCACCGCGACCTACCCGCGACCCACCCGCGACCCACCCCACGACCCACCCAAAATTTTCGGCGCCTGCGGCGGGCTTCTTTTGCATTCGTTCCAGGTGGAGAACCTGCGACACACCCGCGACCCAAACCGCGCCCGCGACCCACCCGCGACCCACCGCGACCCACCCGGGACCCACCCGCGACCCACCCCGCGACCCACCCAAAATTTTCGGCGCCTGCGGCGGGCTTCTTTTGCATTCATTCCAGGTAGAGAACCTGCGACCCACCCGCGACCCAAACCGCGTTCAGTGTACAAATCAAAAATTTCGGAGCCTGCGGCGGGCTGTTTTTGAATTCCTTCCAGGTGGAGGTGGAGAGCCCGCGACCTACCCGCGACCCAAGCTACGTTCACTGAGCAAACCAAAATTTTGGCGCCTGCGGCGGGCTGTTTTTGCGTTCGTTCCGGGTGGCCCACCAACGATCCCCCCCGCGCTGAACTTGTCAGAGCACGTAAATCGGCGCCTGCGGCGGGCTTGCTCGCATCGGTTTGGGAAAGCGCCCTCGTGCCATTCCCCCGATCCGGCCCACGTTGACTCTACAACAGCACGTCGGCGCCTGCGGCGGGGCTGTGTCTGAACACGTTCATTGACAATCCAGCTGCCTGCTGCAATTCGGCATCCGTGCCCAAAGCCTGGGTTCAGGGGAAGTTTTCTCAACGCGCCCACAATTAAGGGGCCTCGGGGCGCTCAAGGGCCCTCCTGAGGGAGTCGTCCACGAACCCTACCACACAGCACGCCAGTGCCGCACAAGCGCGGCGGCGGATTCTGCATGCCGTCTGAGCCCCCCAAGACCTCTTCAAGCTCCGCTCATCCACACCAGCCCATCCAGCAACTTTACCCTGGCGAGTTGCCTGGATCAGAGAAGTCGGGAAGCATTCAGTGGAACAAAGGATTGGTTTGCCGTTATCTTGAGAAAAAAGGGCGAGGCAGAGGAGTAAACAGGGGACGAGGAGGACGCGGAAGAAGAGAGGATGTAAGGATAATGTGAAGAAAGGAGGAGGAGGAGGAGGAGGAGGAGGAGGAGGAGGAGGAGGAGGAGGAGGAGGAGGAGGAGGAGGAGAGGAGGAGGAGGAGGAGGAGGAGGAGGAGGAGGAGGAGGAGGAGGACGCGGACGAGGAAGAGGAGGAGGAGAGGAGGAGGAGAGAGGAGGAGGAGGGAGGAGGAGGAGGAGGAGGATGAGGAGGAGGAGGAGGAGGAGGAGGAGGAGGGCGCCATCGACAAGGAAGGTGAGGGCCACGAGGTCTGCCGGCTCGACGCCCGCGTCGCCCGCGCCCGCCCCCTCACTCTTATCCGCAATTGCGGGGTGCTACGCACTCTGGTATAATAGCTAGTGTGATTCCACCCAGACTGCATCGCTGGACGGTTTTCATTGCTATTTTTTTTTTCGGCCAGCGCCGCACAGGAGATATTCAATGTGCAGTGGAGGCGTCCTTGGAGATGAAATTGCCTAGTGCTGAAATACGCGCGCTATATATCGACATGTTAATGTACTCAGAGGTTGGTGACCTTAGTAAGCAGCCAACATTTGATCTATGGTCTGGCCATATTAAGGCTGGCTGAAGTGCTCTGATAGGAGGGGGGGCCCCGTGCGAAACATTCTCGGCGGCTCCTCGCAAAGACTGGGCCTCCCCTCCATTTCGGTCCTGGAATGCCCCTTGGGGGCTGGCGGCTTGAACCCCAAGCAAGCATCTACAGGTTCAGGTAGCCAATGTTTTATATCTGGCTATTGTGGAGTTGCTGTGTGTGTTGGCGACGGTTGGTGGATCAAGATGGGTTGGGCACCCCGCGGCTCCAACGTGGGAACCCCGTGCAGTCCCGTCCTTGTCCTTCCGTTTCACTGAGGCCCTCATTGAAGCCCCTTATTGTTCCCTGACAGATGGCCAATACGGCAGATCGCCTACAGGAATATTGGCCGTCAGAATGCTCTCCCTAGCCTCTCTCCTCACCTCCACCCCAGGGAACGGCACGCGCAGCCACGGTCGAGGAGCCCACCAGACCTTGCTGAGCAAGCAAACGGATGGCTCCTCTAGAACGTCACGCAAGAAAGTCTACCCGCCTGCGTTGTGGTCTGTTCTGGCGCAGGCCATGTTGGATGCTGTGCTTCGTTCAGTAGAGTTGTCTACATTTCATGATCAGGAGCAACCAGAGCAGTTGCAGATTTTTTTTGGTTCTACGGCCTCCATATTTGCGGAGGCTTCGCCCATGGGTCCAAATTTTGCTGTCAAGCGCCCTGCCCGCCATCAATCAACCATTGAGCGGATCCGTGCTGTCCAGGCTGCTACCAATCAGAGCTCTGAAGTGCAGCAGGCTGATGATCTAGACAACCATTCAATGGCGATTTCTTTTGCAATTGAACCTGGTCCGTTGTTGCACAGGGAATCTCCTGAGGACCCGTTTGCCCATTCCCCTTCGTCGATTTCCCCACCGCTCCCCCCCCCTCCGTCTCCGCCGCCTCCCCCCCTATGCCTGACGCCGTGAGAGCTCGTATTGCGGCGAATAGGGCTGAGGCGTTGCGTCGGAGACGGGAGCGAGCGGCTGAGCAGCGTAGGCTACCGATCCAGAGCTTGAACTTGTTCGGTCCACCTCCAGGGTTGCCTCCTCGGGTGCCGAAAGACAAGGTGCAAGCAGACTTACACAGGTGGTTCTCAGCTGCCATTGCAGGGAGTTCATGATAGTGGCGCTCATGAAGGGGATGTGGGGCTTAGGATAGGAGCGGGAGGATGGAGGTAACGTTTCTGTCTTGTGCGATCCTCCCAAAGGCAAGTTGCCTGTCTCGCGGGAGCCTTCCAGAGATAGGCGGGGGGCAGTGAGCAACTGATTGGTCCATTACTGGGGTTGCCCCAAGAATGGCCCCGTTGGCTCTGTCCCCTCGTCGCCCTAAGCATGCGCGCCTCCTGGCATTGCGGATTTAAGAATATTGTTTCCCATTGCTTCTATGCATCTCTCTCTCACCGGCCTCTGTTCGATTGTGCAGGCGCAGGCCCCACCTGCGACACCCTCGGACGCACTCCTCGCTGTCTGATCTGAGGCACCAGCTCTGTGGTGCAATAGGCGGTGGGGAGGCAGTGGAGCATTGGGTGGGGAGGGAGAGTCAGTCAGTCTCGCGCGTGTTTGTGCGCCCGACGTCTACACCAGCTTCTTCACAGGCGCGCCCACGCGCCGTGCCGCTTGCGAGCAGGGGAGAGAATGGGTGAGGAAGTGAGTTGAAGGATACGAGGAGGATGCGAGGTTGCCCGATGTCCCTCCGAGCCTCTGGTCGTTCGGCTCGCGTTTCGACTTCGTGTGTCGATACATGGAAACGGCTTTGCCTTTGTTTTGATGCCCGAGCTTCGGGCTCTCTTGGTCTGCAGGCGGTCTCGCGTCCTGCGCACCCCCGGCAGTGCCGCCCCTGGCGGACTTTTGAGGACATCCGAGTTCCGAGTTCCCCTCTAATACGGGGGCCATGACGCGTGGACGATACAACGCCTCTCTCCCACTCGCGCGCCACGGCATGTCATCGCACGCCTTGTGCGCGCTTCACTTTGGCAGCCTATGGGATCTTGGATTCCCTCAGGGCGAAGGGGACGAGGAGTGTGCTGAGAAGAAGGAGGCGGAGGAGGAGGAGGAGGAGGTGGAGGACGAGGACGGTATGGTGGAGGAGTATGGCGAGAAAAAGGAAGAAAATGACGAGGAGGAAGATGCAGACTCCGCTGGCCCCTCCAGGGCCAACGTGTTACGTGGCCTGAGCTTCCCGGTTCCCCCCAGCAGATCCAGTTTCCAACGATATAATTATACAGTTTGCTGCTTTCCCAAATTAAGCTTGTAGTGGTTGGCGTCAACGAAAACAAACGCTTGATCACGTCGCGGGTGGTTCTCATACTTTCTCGGGACGCGTCGCATACTGCATATTTGCGCCCCCGCGGCACCACCCCCTCGTATATTACAACGCCCTTGCGCTCCGCAAGCCGCAACCCTTCGTACGTTACGACGGGCTCGCGCTTCCGACGCCGCAGCCGTTGCTACATTACGTCAAGTTGGCGTCCCCGAAACCGCACGCTCTTGCACATTGCGACGCCACCGCGTTCCCGACACCACAGGCCCGCGTATATTACTGCAAGCTTGCGTCTTCGGAGTCGCACTCCCTGGTCAACCACACCGCGTTCCTGAGGCTACCGCCACTCATACCTTGCAAAATGTTTGCGGCCCCAAACTCTCGTGCATTACGACGCGCTCGCGCTCCCGAGGCCACAACCTTTTGCTCATTACACCGCCTTCGCGCTCCCGAGGCTATAGCCCATTGCGCATTGCTAAGAACTCGCGTTCTCCACGCCGCACGCCATTGTAACCTGCGCTTCCGAACCCACAGCCCCTTGCACTACAACGCGTTCGCGTTCACGAAGCAAGGCTCTCTATCAAACTACGAAGCGCTCGGGCAGCCCGAGCAGGGGCAGGCCTCAGGAACCCGAGTCGGGCCCCTGAAGCCGCAGCCCATGCTAACCAACAGCAGGGTCGCGCCACCCGAGGCAACCACCCTCTGCAATTTATAACAAACTCGCGCTCCCGAGGCAACTGACCTAACCAACGGACGCTGCCCCACATCCCTCCCGTCTCCAGAGAATGGGGAACGCAGTTTTCTGTATCGGGGTATTCTGTGCTCGCGGGGGGAAAGGGGGACGCCTCTCTGCCCCAGAACTAAGGATGCCTTTTCCCGAAGCCACGAGTCCTCTTACATTCCACGGTGAGCGCGCCCCCGAGTTTAGACAACAAACCGACCAGCCTAGTTGCCAGCCAACCAACACAACAAAAAACAACCAACCAACCAACCGACCAAATGTGGCCATTCAAGCATTCGGAAGGGAGGAAAGGCGGCTGAGGGCGACGCCCTTCAAGAACATTTTTGCTCAGTCTCGCACCGCTCGCCCAGGCAGCGTTTTGTGCATGCAACTGCCTGCGGCGCCCTGCCAGCACTCGGGCCGCAGCGGCTGCGGAAGATGCATGTCAGAGCTGTTCGCGAAGACTCCAAGTGGTCGCTTGCCCCTGTCAGGACGCGACCACTGCGCAGCGCATTCAGGTACCCATGGTCGAATCAAACCCTATGACATGATACCATGAACAACGTGGGCAAAACCATCGCGGGTAGAAACATACAGCAAACGCCCACATGCAACACCCCGCAGGAGCATCTCGAACGTGCTTTCGTTGTGCGGTGTCACTGCGCTTGTTTCGAGGAGGTGAATCCCCGACTCTCGTCTGCCATCATCTGGCATTCGTCGGTGGTCACGACTCGCTTGGATACAGGGTCTACCCTATTGCCTTCGAGCAGCTTCTGAATTCGTGTCAGATCTTTTCGTTTCGAAACGGTTGTGCCCCAGGCGGGGCCAGCCCCCAACCGCGCCAGAGGTGGCTGCAACACTTCGGCTTCGCGAGGCAGCCGAAACATGTGCATCGCAATGCACTTTAAAGCTGCAGAGTCTGCACGGGGCTGAAAACATGCACGCCGGCAGATTACAGCGAACAGGCAGTGACGGAGAGGGTGCAGCGATCTCGTGCAACATGCTGCATGTATGTCCTGACCATCGGTGCACGCTCATGCGATCCATCCCCCGCTGGAGGCAAATTATAAGGGACATAACCAAGACGCAAGTAATACTACGACTATGTACAAACAGTAGAGAAATGACAATCGGTATGGCAATTTCGAATGAAACAACTCATGCATTCAAGCAGGTCCTGGCCTCATTCACGTCTCCGATGAGGATGGCTTCCATCAACTTTCGCGTTCTGCGGGTATCTACGGGTCGCCTGCTGGGCTCGGTCCGGGTCCAGCAGTGCCTCTCGATACACCTTGTGTACCTTGCTTCTGAGGATCGCCAGCTCGGGCTCGACGGACGAGATCTTCGCGATGCTTTTGGCCCGCTTCAACTGGGTTTGGGCCTCCAATAATTTCGTCTGCACTTGGTCCCGATGCTCCTGGGCCTCCCAGTGTGCTTGCTCCGCCCAGTCGACGCTGTATTGTAAGATAGGTCGGAACGTGAATGCCAGCTCGGGAAGGACGTCGCGGCTCCAGCCAGGGCTCCCCAATTGCAGGACCTGAACATTTGCTGGATCTCCTCCTTGGAAGGCCTTGACCCGGAGCCACCTGCTTTCGTTTCCACGGACTTGGACCTGACCGACACCCCGACTTGCAGGTCCTTGCCCTGGGCCGCCTTCGCTTCGCAGACCCCGTCGATCTTGCCGTCCAAGCAAGCTCGGGTTGCCGTCGTCCTCGGCACCGTGGGTGAGCTCGGCGTCTCCCTCGCGGCCCTCGCCGAGGCTCTGCGCGAAACCCTCTCCCTCCTCGCCGCCGTGGCCCTCGAGGCTCTCGCCAAGCTCTGGGTGCCGTAGACTGCGCATTCTTCGACGCCGTAGCCTTGCTTGCCGTCGCCCCCGCGGCCCTTGTCGTGGAAACTCCGCGTGCCGTCGCCCTCGCAGCCCTTGCCGCCGTAGGTCTGGTTGGCGCCCCCCTCGCAGTCCTCGCCGGCGCTCTGCCCGTCGGGGGCCCCCAAATCCTCGTGGGAGTGCTGCCGGCCGTCAGCCTCGCGCCCCTCTCGCCGCCCGTGCTCTGCGCGCCGCGGCAGCCGAAGTCCTCGCCGAGGCTCTGGTTGCCGTGGCACTCGTGGCCCTCGCTGCCGCAGCCCTGGTCGCCCTGGCCCTCGCAGCCCTCGTCGCCGAAGCTCCGCGTGTCGGCGCTCTCTCGAAAGCCTCGCCGCAGGAGCTCTGGCTTCCGTCGCCCTCGCGGCCCTCGCCGCCGCGGCTCGGGAGGCCGCCGCCCTCGCGGTCCTCGTCGTCAGAGCCCCGCGAGTCGTCGCCCTCGCGGCCCTCGCCGCCGAAGCACTGCGTGTCGGTGCCCCCGCAATGCTCGCCGAAACTCTGATTGTCGCCCCCTCGGGCCTCGCCGAGGCTCTGGTTGTCGCGGCCGTTGCAGTTCTCGACGCCCCCGTATCCGAAAACCTGCCTGCAGTGGCCCCGGCTGTCCTCGTCGCCGAAGCACGGTAGCAACAGCGCGGCGGAGCATGGGAGAACTCCTCCGCCCCCGCGTGCAAACAACGGCTCGGCGGCAGCCAAAGAGGCTAGGCGCCAACGAAATCCGTGTCGGGAGGATTATCTTTAGCGAGCGGAACTCGCTCTTCAGGTCATGCACTTCGCGGAATAGGTCTCGAATCGCTGCCATGCCAACGCCCTGGAGTAAAGCTTGGACAAAACGATAATCAACAAAAAAATCACGAGCGCGCGCGGCTCGCCTTAACCGCTGCCGGCCTTAGCCAGGGCTTGAACCAACAACTTCTGAATGGATGGCACAATATACTTATCGATCTCCTGCATCCACACCCGCGCAGGGCTACATGACTCGCGGTCGGTCACGTCGTACACGACGACAATGCCATTGTAGCCACGGTAATGGCTGTTGGTGATCGTGCGGAAACGCTCCTGGCCACCGGTATCCCAGAAGTACATCTTGGCCACCGTGCCATCGATGGTACGCGTGCGCACTTCGAAGTCCACCCCAATCGTCGAACCGATGTCGGCTCTGTAGATGTCGTTAGCGCATCGAAGGAGAAGGTTCGACTTGCCAGTGTCAGAGTCACCAATCAGAAAGACCTTGAACATGTAGTCGAACTCGGACGCAGGCCACGAAACAGGAGAGGCTACATGCAACGGACGACGCGTTCCGATCCCACGCGGCACGCGCGATGAAACGCGAAGAGAGACGAGGCACAACGAGGGCCCCTGGCCGAGGAACACCGACTTGCTCGACGGGCCGCTGGACACATTGGGCAGCAGGCCACGGGCAATGGAACGCTCCTCTGCAGGCCCCCTCCCGCGAGAAGACACGAAGCACGGGAGCCTCGGACCAGGGGCAGCGGATTATGGCACTCTGTGCGCTCTCTCCAGCTCGAAGGGCCACCGGAGATGCTGGGACGTGGTACACAAGCAACCTCCTCCTCCTCCTCCTCCTCCTCCTCCTCCGAACCCCCTATTGCACGCTCCGCCGACGAGGGGCAGCGCGAAAAGCACGGACCACTCCATGAGGTCTGGTCCTGCATGCCCCCCCCAACAAGAGGCCACAAGTGGCTACGGGGCATAAGAAATCGCGAGTCTCTGGATGCCTATTCTGACTTTCATTGGACGCCCCCCTATCATTTGTTCAACACAGATGACGAAATTTCGTCCTGTCGACCGCGGAATGGTTATGAGAAAACAAAACCACCCATGTATTACCCTATGGACATACTTTTTCCTTGCCCATGATACGTCGCTCAATTCTCACCCATTTTAACATGCGTATCGGGCTTCGCATTGGTAGCATAAGGATTCGGCCTGGCTTGCTGTTCTCCGACGGTGGTGTTTGTTGTGCGGTCGATCTTGGGATTTATTGCTTCATTGCTCTCGCAAGGAATCCTCCTGGGCCAGTCGCGACTTTACCAGTGAGTCAATTTTCGTTTACCATTCCACGAACTATGGCTGTGCGACTCGATGACGATGTCCGGTGGCAACGCCGGATCGTATCGACTTTCTCTTGTCTGCGTTCTCAGCAAGCGAACTCTGCTTCGACCGTACCCGCCTATCCATACAATTCATGCACGGCAGCTGCCGCTAATGGATGCGCCAGAACGGGTCTGGTACCTCTGCCAGGGCGCTCTCAAGGAGAGTTCTGTGGAGCCCCCGTGATGAGTGCGCTGACGCACCCACAATCTACCAGACGGGGTGCTTCCGGGGAGGGCCACGTAGCGGCACGAAGCGCGCGGGGAGTTCGCCGAAACGTGTCCGTCCCGCACTGGGGCGCTCTCAGGGAGGCCTCGGTGGAGTCCCCTGTCCACGAAACGCAGAAAGGGTTCGCCGATATGAGCGCGAGTGGACGAGTCGAATAAGTGAGCGGCTGAGTGAGTGAGTGAGTGAGGCAACGGGGGAGTGAGTAATTGCGTAAGTCGAGTGATTGAGCGAGTGACTAGAGTGAGTGAGTGGGTACTGAGTGAGGGTACGGGAGAGAGGACGGTAACAAATGCGCTGAAGGTGGGCAAGACGAGGCAGATGGGGAAGGAGGGGCCGAGGGAGTGATGGGCAGAGGGAGGAGGATGGCGGCTGTGTGAGGGGATGCGGGAGGAGGCAGGAGAAGGATCGCCACGACGTGCTGCGCATGAGGGGTTGGACGAAGCCGTGACGTGACGAGGCGCGCGGTGCACGAACGAATGCGAGGACACGACGACATTCCCCGATACACTGGTCAGTAGGGCTCAAATAGGGTTCAACAGTTGTCACACAGAACCACTACTTGAGGAATCACCAGCTGCAATCTTACGATCAAACTCTGATCACCAGGTGCGCATTCCGCCCAAGCCCGCTCAAGAATGGTGGTTCCCAATATGCAAGTCCATCCAAACAATGGTGCGTCCCAGGACCGCCCCAAGTGCATTCTGTGTGTGTGTGTGTGTGTCCACTCGAGGGTGGTGCGTCCCAGGTCCAAGCACTGGTGCGTCTCCGGACCGTTCCAGTGCGTGCCTGCTCGGGGATGATGCGACCCAGGCCCAGACAATGGTGGGCCCCCTGGCGTCCCCAGGCACGTCCCCTGGCACGCCACCTGACATGGCCCCATGTGCCCAGGCACGTTCTCTGACACGCCCCCACGGCCCCAGACAACGTCACCGAGCACGTTCCCCCACATGTCCCCAAGCACGTCCCCCGAAACGTCTCCTGACACTCCTTCAGAGACATCTCCAGACACGCCCCCAGGCACTTCCCCTGACGCGGCCACATGTACGCCCCCAGAGACGCCCTCCCAAACGTGTCACCCAACACGTCCCCAGACACGTCCTCTGATGCGCCACCATGGCACGTCCTTAGGCACGCCAACTCTACGAAGGGGGTGAGTGTTGCTCTGGCGCAACTTATTTATTGCTATGCTTTGCCCAGTCCCCCCCGTCCTCCCCCGTCATCGTCGTCGTCGTCGTCGTCGTCCTCCTCCTCCTCCTCCTCCTCCTCCTCCTCCTCCTCTTGCTCCTTCTCCTCTTGCTCCTCCTCCTTCTCCTCTTGCTCCTCCTCCTCCTCCTCCTCCTCCTCCCTCTCCGCATCTCTCCTCCTTTCCCGCCGCCCCTGGAGCCTTGGGCCTGGTATCGAGGCGTTCCGCGACACCTGCCCGCCCAAAGAAGGCGACGGCGCGTACGGCACCTGCCCCGGGGGAGGGGTGGTGGCCAGGCCGACCCTGGCGCCGTCCGTCTAGGGGGGGCGCCCGTCCCCTGCGACCCCTCGCTCAGGGGGAGGTGATGATGATGCTGCTGCTGATGATGCTGCTGCTGATGATCCTTATGATGATGACGATGGTGATTATCATGATGATGATGGTGAGGTTGATGACGATGACGATGATGATGATGACGATGCCGAGGGTGATGCTGATGCTGATGTGAATGTTGTTGATGATGATGACGCTGACGGTGGTGATGCTGATGATGATGACGATGAGGATGAACATGATGAGGATGATGCTGGAGATGATGATGATAACGATGGGGATGACGATGCTGATGGTGACGATGATGATGATGATGATGATGATGATGATGATGACGATGATGATGATGATGATGATAATGATGACGCAGATGACGATGCTGCTGATGCTGATGCTGATGATGTTGACGGTGATGATGAGGATGATGATGATGATGACGACGATGCTGGCTGATGATGATGATGATGATGATGATGATGATGATGATGGTGATGGTGATGATGATGATGATGACGACGTGGGAGATGATGATAATGACGATGACGAGGATAAGGAAGAAGCGGAGGGAACATGAAGGAGGTTGAGGGGGATCAGATGGAGGCTGAGGAGGATGAATACTTTTTGTTTCGAGCGCTCGGAACCGCACCTTCCCATTACTCGAAGGGCCTCCGGCATTCCGTGAAATGTTTAAGTAGGCGAGGATGAATAACCATAGAACGAACGGGACAGGTCAAACACCAACGACAGGATAACAAACACTTGCGGCAAGACAGCCTGGTAGCGCGGCCGAGGCGTACAGGAAAAAATGGGATCATACTCGGCACCGCCAGGAAGAAAACAGGTAGGCGCACATCACCGTGTCCACCTCAAGCGCGCAACTCATGACGACATCCGCCACCATTTCGGCATCCATCCACTCTCATGTTTGGCACTCGATCGCTCAGAAAACGTCCGCGGTCTACTCGACGTGTCCTATCACAGGGCACCGATCCGCTTCTCTCCACGCAGCTCTATCGGCACACCGCCCTAACATTCTTGCGCACTGTCGCGATATCATACGGCGCACAACGCCACCACATACGCCAATAATCAACCAACCGCACCACTGCAACACGCCATGCCGCATGATAGCACCAACCGGTATCTGCGCGTGAACATGGGCACCAACGAATTTGCACCATCGTGATGACAACCGGTGTAGGGGGTCCGAAGTAGCATGGTCAAGCCATGTCCTTCAATCCAACGATACACAATACCGCAAGAAGGGGCACATCAAGCACGCGACAACTTCAGCGAACCCGCAATTTCCTGCGTGAGCATTATGTGGATCGCCATGGCGTGTCCTCGGCATCTTGTGATTACCATCGGACGCGCCGTGGAGCAGACCGGATATCAAGGCCACTGCGCCAAGCACCGTCGCCTCCGCGATCAAACTTCCCTCAACCTTCGTGCCCGTCACGCGTGTTTCAACCAAGATGATCACGACCACCGCCACTGGGGCAATCATATTCATCGGGTCTGTGCCACCACCAGCTGGAGGCCACAAGGGCGACATCCAAATGCTGATTTCGCTGTGGCGTTCCGAGTAATCGTGTCCACCATCAACTGCCGCCATGAAGACGCACCGCGTCTATCGTTCGCATGGGTCTGCGTCGCGCAACTCCGTGAAGGAGTCCGTCGTCGTTTGTTGTTTGTTTGCTTGTTTGTTTGCCGATACGAACGAGCAGGTGCTCCATTGCCCCCAGCAACCGAAGCGATCTACTGTATTGCCTTCAGTCCAATAGCCTAATTTGTGATGCAGCCACTCAGGCTCGTACCATTTCCATAATTTACGATCTACTGCAACAGTCTTCCAATCCTTCTGATACCACTGCAAGAAAATGTCAGCTGCGCTTCATAATGCCATGGTGAAAACTGGCAATGGCCTTGCCTACCCGAAACTCTCTGCAAATTCACAGGCCTTCCGAATGACAGTTCAATTTGAATACTTGGCATAACGGCAGCTCTGGGGAATTGTCCATGAGCTGGTCGACACGTTCAACATATCAGTGCGTGAGCCGGGCAGCATCCAAGTCCAAATCAGCAAAGCCGTTCTCAAGGTTGATGTTCCTCAGAAGGCACCTCTGTCGACGACAGTAATGTTCATCCGCTTCACCACGATGCCAAGGAAGACGGAGGTACCGCAGCATAGCTCTATTCTGGACTACTCTCAGCTTTTGGGTGGCCTGCTGGTTGTAGGTCCACACTCCCGCGGACCACGTAGACGTGGACATGCAAATCTGATTGATGAGTCCGCGCCGCTGCTTCCGAGTAGATGCTTTGAAAGACAAAACGCTCGCCGAATGAGCGACGACGCTCCGTGCGGAATATGATTTGACTC